GGGGGAGATTAAAGAAAATTGCCCCTGAATACTCATGATTTCCTCTTTGACCCATTGGATATGGTAACAAAAGGCCCCAGATTAGAAGGTGCTTAAATTTCAGAGTTGCAAATGACACTGATCATAATTACTTTTTTTCAGTCCTAGTATAGTTTAATTTAAAAAGCTTAATTCCTAGGATATATTTAAATACTTTTGCATCTTGTTTGTAAGTTAGATGCTTCCAGTTCAAGCTTGTCTGTCAAATATTAATGTGTTCTAATGGAAAATGTTCACTCTAGAGACAGTCTTTTGCTTTTAACGGTTTGGGTTTTTTTAATGTTGAGATTTTTCAATGATGCTCAAACTAAAGTTATTAGAAACAAGTGGGGTTTTTTTCACTGAAACTGGGAACATAACTGCTGAGTTGAGGCTGTCATATTTTCTAATTTCTGAGCATGTGTTAAAACAGTGTCAATTGTAACCACTTAATTATAACAAAGTTTATAATTTTTTTAAGGTCCCTGGTGTTGCATCTTTAACTTACAGCTACACTCACATGCTTCAGATCAGCCTTCTGTCTGATAGTAACTCTGGCCTTAGGGATGCATCATGCTTTAAGGTCTGTGGAAATCCTGCTGTGATTTAAGATAGGTTACTAACAAAATTGCTGTCTCTAGACAAACATACTGTATCCAGTGAGATACTGGAAGTGAGAGCCTCTACCTCTAAGCAGGCAGTCAGTGTATTGTGAAGAACATTCAAAATTACAGTGATGCTTTGACTTACTCTGTCAAAATGTCTGAGTGCCTTTGGGCAGGGATTCATGAGATGGATAAACACAGCAAGTGGTTGGTACATGGCAACACTACAGTTGTATGTACAGGCAGATGGTCTACGAGCTGCAGTGCACATCTCTTTCAATGAGTTTTATTGTTGATGTGTAACATGTGTTGTATTGACTCTGTCTGGCCATTTGTCTTAAACAAAACAATTGCTTTATACCTTGTAGAAGCAATTGGAGACAATTTCCTTAGTGATTTCAACTCAAAATACAGAGCTGGGAAGAAGAGTATGTTAATGGTAAATATGAAAAGCAGTTGATATATAGGTAATACTGTCCCAACTGTTAATAAAAAAATATGTAGAGGGAGAAAGCTGGAAGTCTTGTGGGTTGATGGCCTTTTAACTTAGTCCTTCTAAGTATCAGTTAATTATTCACAAAGATGGGCTGTCCTATATTCATGACTTTGTTTTTTCAAATCTGGAATTGACTCATAATAGCCAAGCAAGTGTGAGTTTTGAATAGAAATTTGACAGATTTCCAAATTAATTTCCATTATCTGTGACCCACATGATGGTGCTATTCCCTGCTTTTGAATTACAGACTAAGACTTCAATAAGCTGCTCTTCTTTCAGAGCCATTTGATCACACACACACAAAAAGCGTGGTACTGCTAGTCAGTCCTTACCAGATCCCAGAAACACACTTTGATGTAGAGTTTCCATTAAAATGTTTTTCATTTGTATCTGAATATTGGCAGACTTTTAGTATAACAAGTTTTTCTGTTCAGACAGGGTTCTGTTTAATGCTTTATTGTAGTAGCTGTCAGGTAATGATCCCTGGCACTTCACAGAGTGTCTCCTGCACAGTTTGGTTTTGTCATGTGTTTCTCCTGGCTCAGTCCTTGTCAGCAGTGTGACGTGACTTTGTCATAGCCATGAAGCAAAAGTGCTTTAGAGTCGTGCTAATGGCACATTGCTGGAATGGCTGATTGATCTCCCAGAATCTTCAGTAGCTGTGGTGAATCACCTGAAATGATGGTGGAGGCTTGTAAGTACTTTTTGTTAAGTGTACATAGTACATGTTACCAGATCTTCAGCTGAAATGCTTGCACAGAATGAGAGGAATAGATTGCTCATAGCCATAGTCTGATTTGTAACTGTCAAAACAGAGCAAAAATGCATTGGTCTTCCTTTCAGGTAGGGACCTGTTGCAAGAATCTATTGATTGCGCCTCGATCAGAGGCTTGTTGGCACCCTTGTAGCACATATGAAGTAATCTGTGCCTCTGTGTGTGTTTTTGTTGGAGAAGGGCAAAAAATTGCTGCCTCTATTTGCTGCCATATCCTCCTTCATTTCCATGTTCTGAAACAAGTGTTCAGGAGACTTTGTGATCCTTCATTAGTTCAACTCCATCATTCTAATAGAAGAGTAGTTACCAGTCATCCTGGTTATGATGATCTTAAAAATATATTTGTCAAATGTTTTTGTAGGGCAAGTAATTCACAGAAAGCTTGGGTCTTGAGTTGAAGCACTGAAACTATGTAAACGTTTTATGGTAGCCAGATGTCATTTAATAGCTTGATGATAATTGCTTGGTCTTCACATGAATTTCGCTTTTGTGGTTTTTTTCTTGAACATATAACATATGTGGAATAGCCAGCAAATACAAATTTTATCAATCAGATATAGTTTGACATTTTTAACACTTTTTAATCTTTACAAATACCTGTTTACCATATGGTGTAAGTGGGTGTGCAGGAAACGACACTTTCATCAACTCTGATATACTACTTTTCCATGAGCTGAGCATGAACATTTCCTTTTAACGGGTGTGCTGAAGGCGAGCCTTTGAAGAATGGGTGTATGATTTTGGACTGTAACATTTATATTTGTGTAATTCTGTAGGTGGTTATTTTAAAATCACTTCATCTTTTAGCTTTTCTTATTTTTATTTTACTTTATTCACAAAAGTCTGTTCCAGATGAATGTTGCAATATGTGAAAGAAGTAACAGAAAAGCAAAATTCATATTTTTCTTTTCATTGTTGCAGAAACCAGTTGTTGTTTTTATTGTGGTCCAGGGTATCCCGTTTCCTGTTTATATTCTATGTCTTTTGAAGATGCTGCAGAGTTTCAAGGGAATTCTATGATCTTTGAACTGAAATCCTGTGTATCGTTAAATTGAATTAGTCGTGATAGTTTCTTCAGACATAGGGTCATAGTAGCTTTCAGTGACTTGAAGATACTGATCCCAAATGCTGTTCTGGCTTGTTTGCATACAGTTAAGGTTTAATTCAGTTAAACAGCCCCTCAATGCTCTGTTGTGCAGTATCTCAAATATACATTGGACCAGTGTTACTTAGAACATGTGACTTACCTCTTGATGCAAATAAGCAACTTGTGCTTGCTCCTCTTGCAGACAAAAGCTTCTGCTCCAACATCCACTTAAAAGTAGAAAAGTACTCAACAATAACTGCTTTTCAAATTACAGGTTAGACCAAAAGGACGCAGTTTTCCAAGAGTGAAGTGTTTGCACATATATTCATAAATGTTTAACACATTGTCCCATCAAGACGCAACTTTTAACTAATTGCTAGAAACTTGTACGTGCCTCTCTGAAGTTACTTGTTGATTTAGTCTCTTGCTTATCAGATAATTAGTGACTTAATTAGTTTTTAAACAAAACTCAGGTAAGGAAAAAAATTGATCCACAGCTAAAATGTATTTTCTTTTTTTAACTTCCCTTTCTCAATATTTAATGCCTGGTAATTTCCCTAACAATATCAATACCTTTTTCTTTCTTTCTTGGTGTGAGCTATAGTAGCTATTCCTTAAACAGAGTGTCTTAAACAGAGTTTAACATTTAGGATATGTTTGTAATTCATGAAACTATGTAATACTACAAACTGCAGTACAAAAAAAATTGTGTGAGCTTCACTGTATAAAGATTTTAGTTTTAGAGTATTACTTAAAGCTGCACAAGTTTTCTCCTCTTTTTGAAAAATAATGTCCTTGTTAACATCCTCTTAAACCCATGGCAGGAGTAAGAAAATTCAGATAAAAATGCATGTAAATCTACATCATTGCCAAGAGAATTCAGATAAAAATGCATGTAAATCTACATCATTGCCAAGAGAGTGGTTGACAATGCTGCAACTGCCTGGCACCAGCACTCAGGAAGTCATGACTGTTTCTGCCACCAATCTTTTTTCATATGCAGTCTACTTAATTTTAAGAAGGGTGAATTGAAGACTAGCAATAGTGCATCTCTGGGTGTTTCTCTCACTATCCTTGTCTCCAAACTAACACTCTGAAATGGTTACTCTGATCCTCTATCAGCCCTTCCTCTGCTCCCCCGCTGACAAAGCGTCATAATGCAAAAACCAACCTCCAGCCTGTGAGGAGGGGCTCTGTTCTGCCAGCTCTGTTCTAACTGCCTGACCTCTCAATTAAACTGCTTTAAGGTACAGAGTGTCAAAACTAAGAAATCAGCTTGCTCTGATTACTCACTCAAATTTTTCCTTGGTTTGAGAATTTAATTGATGTCTCGTGCCCATGTGCATCAAGTAAAATAAGTAATAATCCAAAATGCCTCTGTGGGAGGCTTCTCTGTGTTTGGAGAAATCTTGGCACAAAGCAAAATGGGTTTGCTACTCTTAAGTTGTGGTTTATGGCACAGAGAGCAGGGGAAAATAGGCTGAGGAAGTCACCTTCTTGAAAGTCTTTATGAACTTTGACAGTGTGTGACTATAAATATTATTCTTGGTTATTTTAAACAGAATTTTATGGTTCTTTTATATTTTAGTCACGCAAAGAAGTATACAGCTTTTACTGTATGATTGTTTAGGAGATTTTTGGTAAAGAAGAAAATAATGACTGAGATCTTTCCTTTTTTATGTATAATTGTATAATGTTTTGCACTTTGTTCATTCTGAATTTTGTTTATCTACATTAAATAACAGCAGTATACACCAGTTAGAGGTATACAAACTACTCACTCATTTTTTTCTAATTAGGGGGGTTTTTTCACTACATCTTAATAAAAAATCATATTTTGGTGTGGATCACATTTTATATAACACATACAGTCTGTTATATTTTGTAATGAATCAAGTGTGACAGTATACACTGCCTTTCTTCAATACCGTTGTTTGAACACACAAGCTTTGCTTGTTTTTTTACGTCAGACACTGAAAAATTGCTTTTCTGTATGAAATATGTTTGGTTTTTTTCCAGATTGTCACAAACTACTCCACTTTTCAAGAATACTCAAACAAGCCCAATGTACACACAGTTCCTGACCACGTTGCTGGAAGAACTGCATTTCAAAAATGAAGATTTGGAAAGTTTAACAAGAATATTTAGAATGGACTGATGACTTGAATGGTCAGTCAATTTTAAGCTACTTTGTGTGTCATAAAACCAAGGCAGTTAACACTGGTTTTTATTTTCAGCATTTTGTAAGTATGCACAGTAACTACAGATTGTATCAGCCAGAGTAGAAAATGTGTGAAGCACATTTTAAAGTAAAGAAATATATATGGTATGGAAATGAGTGTCATCATTTTGTCACTTACAGTAAATGCCAGCTGCTTACTTATCACATTAATCTTTTGATAATATATAGTGGTTTACTGCAATTTTGAGAGGAATTTTTACTACCCCAATTTTTTAAAAAAAAATAAATTCTGTGTGGCTACAACAGCCAAGGCTCAGCAGGGTTTTTTTAATTATTACAATTAAATTGTTCTGTTCAGTCTTTGTGATATAAAATGGAGTCGAGAGATATGTATTTTTTTCTTAATGTTGAGACCACATTGCATTCTGGGAAGGCCAAAAAATTTAGAGCAAATACCTTGTTTATTTTGATCATATTAAATTGATTCAGTGAAAACAGAGTTATAATATTAATTAGTGTATTAACATTACTGATCTCAATCCTTTCTTCCCCACAGAATAACATGATCATCTTAACATCTCCTACCACCTGAAATAGTTGCACAGAGAATAAAAGAATACCTTCAATTGTTGGAACTTTTTTAAAATGAAAAATATAGTTTAGTATGAATTGTACTACTTGCACTTCTGCTTTTTCATTTCCTTGCTATGGGTAAGAATTTTGAAGTCTTGTGGAAAAGCTGCCCATAACAGCAGTTGTTCAAGGTATGCACGAAGACAAGTTACCATGTGGATCATCTGAAAACTGTGTGTTTAAAAGCAGTAGAAAGGAATTTGGATTTGTTTTTTTCTTAGTTTGGAAACTTTCAGTTTGTCTACAGGAATTAGGGAAAGAGGGGGAGGGGAAGAATATTAGCCTGGAGTGTTAAGAACAGTGCTGCTGACATTTTTCCGGTTGCCCCAATGCATGGAGCAGTAACTGTAAGAATGACTGTGACAGTAGACAAAGATGTCTGAGTTATAGCCTGTTTCTCTTGCTGCTTCTGACAAAAGGAGTGGTCTTTGAACTTATGTAAAAGTTATTTTTAAACAGACTCTGTTAATAATTTGGACTTTAACATATATTTTAATAACTAAAATTTTTGGCTTTCAGTAGTCATTTAATTTCAGTCATGTTGTTTAGACTGAGTGTCTTTGGGCTTGCTTCTGGCACTAACTGATTATAAATTGCAATTTAAAACCAATCCACTAGTGATTCTTAATGATTCCATAATATGGTTTACTGCATCGTTCTCAGTTCACAGGACACTGTCCTTTGAGAGACTTGAAGGTTGTAACTGACAGTGCTTAGTCTGCAGCAAATGCCAGCACTAGTTAAGGCTGAAGCAAGACTTACCAGGGCTGCTACGCAGCGACTCCATTTGAAAAAACAAAGTTTATTCCTTTGTTTTGTTTCTGTAATTGGACATCATTAGGGAACTCTCCACTTAATTAGTTTATTGATGTGTTGTTCCTTCATACCTTCAGAATAAACGCAAAGAAGGCCATGCAGCTTTTCCCTGGAAGCTTCACTGCACAGTACACTTTATTTAGGAGATGCTTGACTTTTCCTAACTTACCTTGTAATGGGAAGTTATGTTCAGTATACATTGTAAAAGCAACAATTTAGAATGTGGATAACCTTTAATGCAGAGTTACAGCTACACATTTTTCTAAGTATGGAACAGGAAAAAATTGCCCATTGCAATCAGAGCATGTCTGATATAAAATTTGTAAGAGTTACTGGATAGAAGGTACATCGGTTTTGGGCCGTGATGGAAAAAGTTTACTTGATACATATGGAAAGAAGGGTCAAAACCTCACCAAAAGATAAACTTCTGTAGAAGACTGAGTAATAGGTATGATACTCTGAGCAGAACTTAAACCTTGATTTTTATATCTATTTGCTTCTGATTTTAGAAGTTAAATATATTTCTATTTTTAGCTAGTACTTCACTGTGGATGAGCAAGCCATTGTCCTGTTCCATGCGCATTTACCTTGGGGCACAAAGATTACCTCACAACAGTTTTGTTATACTGAGTGTACCTAGAAGGCATTACAAATATACTTATATCAGGAATATGACTGTGTTTTATTACATTCGATGGCTCACACTTGGAAAGTTTTTACACTTCCTGTCAGTTTAGTGGTGTGATTTTTTTTTTTTTTTTTTTTTTTAGTTATTTTTAGGCTTGGTCTTCAGCACCTACTGTGTAGGAAATGTACGATCTTGTAATAAGAATGAATAGGTTGCAGGTTCAAAGACCTCTTTATCAGGGTTCAGTGTAGCTGCTTTTACTGTCTTTCTCAGCAGCTCAAAAAAGTAAGCTTTCAGAATTTTTGTCTCTCTCCTTCAGCTCCTGTGTAGTAAGCTCCCCCATTCTTTTCCTTGCCCTAAGAGAACAGAATAACCTTTATCCTTCCATGAGGCCAGAAAAAAAGACTTCTGTAGAATGCTGGAAATGCCCCAAAGAAATATTCTTCACTTACCTTTAATGATTTTATCTCCCTTAGACACGAGTAACACACATATGAATAAATGGAGACAGTATGCATATATACACCCATTACTAGGGAGAAAGGCTGTAGACTCATCTGAAAAGGATCTTTCATACTGTCAGCCTTAACTGGTATGTAAAGATGATAACTGAAGTACCAAAAATTAAGTTAATTTATGTAATTTTCTTATGAGCATGTTTTGTAACAGCTTAACTGCATAGAAATGTTCAAATCCAGACATCATTTTTGGCTTAAAGCTAATTTCTGTCACAACTATCTGTCCTTTAAGAGATGTCACTCTTTCTTAACTCAGTTTTGGTGTCGCTCCCCCACTTCTCATTCTGCTTCTGTTTGCAGGCAGATTGTTGCCTTGTGGCCTTGTTGCTGTGCTTACTGTCTTTCCTTCTCTGTGAGCTGAGCGGATGAGGGCAGATGACACTCAGGTCAGTGGTGGTTTCAGCCTTATCTCATACACACTAAATTTTTGTTACTGACTTGTGAGCTGCTGAGACCGACTTGTGTAGGGACATTATGGATCTGGGCCTTAGGGGAGATGGGGCATAAGCAGGGCAAATATAGTGTGATGTTTCTTTAATAGGGGAAAACCAGACTTCTACAGTGATTTTTTTTTCCTGATGTATATAATGGATTAAGTAAAGAACAGAAGAACAGTTTAGTTCAAAGCTTGAAGCAAAGCCTGCTTCATGCTGTTGCAGCTTCTCCGCATCAAAGGAGGAATGTGTGACACAAACCCTGCCTAGCACAGGTTTGGATTTCTTACCAAGTTTTCTGTAGTAATGAAGTAATCTCAGGAAGAGAACAACCACATATACAGAGAAAGTCACATTTTCTCAGTGTTATTCAAAGCAGTCTTTATGCTGGCCAAAGAGGCTGGCAAAAAGGCATTTGTGTCTATTCTCACACCAAAGTTCAGTTCACAGTCCTGTAAATACTTTCAGTGTAAGCACTGCTCTCTGTAATACTGAACTTCCTAGTGCAGAACCCTTCAGTGCTGCTGTTTTGGTTCTTTGTGCCCATTGACCACGCTTGCTGATTTTTATTGGGTTTTGGAGAGCAGAGGATTCAGAGTGGTCCATTTGATAGTCACCATTTCAGGAAAGTAGCAAAATCGTAAGGTAACCTGTAAATTATCAGAGATTATGCTGCATCTGTCTAAAATTGGCAAATGTTATGCTTATATATGGTAATACAAAATTCTACATTAAAACCAGAAGAGAGCTTGATTTATTTCATTGAAGACTATCAAAACAAAAATGTGCCTTAGTAAATCTAGAGCAGCATAACTGACAGGGCTGTGCTGCTGTCTAAACCCAGGACTGGAAAGTTAGATCTACCCTGTCTTTTAAAGAGTGATGCAGGGAGCGACAAAGGAGCATGGTACATGTATGAGATACATCCGGGGCCTCAAAGGCTTTGTCCACACTACACATAGAAGAGTCACCTGTATTTTCACTCTTCAGTCTCAGTGAGTAGCTTAAAAGTGAGACATCTGTTGTGGTTTTAGGGAGAAATAACGGTTCTATGAATCTTGATGTTCCATGTAATACCCTTCTTCCCCTAATTTGAGAGAACCTGGACTCTATAAAATGCAAGAGGGAATGAACAGCTCAGCTGGACGTGAAGTCTGAACTGACGTTTTTAACTGCTGGAGAAAAAAAGGACTAACACATCAGAGAGAAGAAAAAGGAAGAGAGAAGGGGAAAGCAGTATTCACACCTTCTAAATTTAGGCATCCAACCTTAGGTACCTGCCTGTCTTAATTTACTTCAGAGAAAACCAATGCTCTTAAATTTAGGGTCTACAAATCTTACCTTAGTGCAGGGTATGAAGTGGGTGGTGGTAATACCTCTGTCCCTTAGTCCCTAGTGGGGGAAAGAAAGCAGAAAAGTCAACTCAGAATGTCGACCATAGTAGACTGGTTCTCCCTGGAATAATTTGTAATAGTTTATGAAACTTAGACCCTAAGTTTCTAAGCAATCTGATCCTATTGTTCACTTTGATGGCTACTATTTCTAATAGAATTTTTCTTAACCTGTAAGAGTTAAAACCAAAAGAATTAAATTGAGTGGCACTGTTTAGGGGAAAAAATAATGCCCATGTGTTGAAATTACATCCAGGAGGTTACATTCAAGTTCTACAATTTGCCTCTAAGCTTTCCATACTTACTGTTTATTTTTGCAATTGCGTACGAACACACAGTTGCTGTGGGTGGGGTTTAGATTGATCTGACTGGGGCAGCAGGTAATGCTGAACTGTCATTTCCAGTGAGCATTAAATATTGAAAACACAGAATCAGCTTCTCTTTTTGGCAAGTCCTAAGTTTCCATTAGCAGCAGATGGTATACAAGGCAGGGTTAGGCATCTACCTGTAAAGACCTCTTGTTTCTCAACTGCACATCTCTACCACCTGACAGCCAGTCGTGCTGTGATTAGAGTCAGAGGAAGTGGGTGTGCCTTCCATTAGCAAAGGCAGAAAGTAATATTGCTGAAGACTTTTCCTCTTGAGAGCTTTCTTTTTGTGACTATTCATCTTAGAACCACTTCTCCGCACAGAGTGTGGAATGCTTTGGGAGATGCTTGAAAGATGCTGCGGAACATGAACTGTGGCATTTGTGGTGCTAAACGGGATTTGGTGAGGTGGGGGCAGGGAGGAGCTGGAAACCCATATCTTCAGGCAGCACTCATTTGAACGCTGGTTTAAAAAAGCAAGTGAAAGCAGATCAGCCACTGAGGCAATGTAAGGACATGTGTGATTAAATGTTAGTCGTTCCCCCTTAGTTGCTTGCAGCTGTAGAGTAGAGCAAGGTGCAAGCTGGAGTTCTAAAAAAAATATACTGACTTTGCTACCAGAACTGAATGTGTAGACTAAAGTCCTAGACTTAGGAAGGCTAATCAGAACAGTGCAGTGGCCCCTGTACACTGCAGATGTCCTCCTGTTTGTTGGCTTTACTGTGCTATCCTGCAGTTACCCCAAGACAAGAGCTCTAAGGAGGCCCTCTCCAAGAACAGGCTAGAGCCGACACAGAGGTGATCCCAAGGCAGCCTCCTCTTGCCACTCTGCAGAATCCCACCTTGGAAGGCCCCAGGATGATTTGGTAGCCTGTACTTTAAAGGCAAAGTCTTTGGTACGTTTTTGCACGCTGTGATTACCTGTGGGAGCTGCTTGCAAAGATCAGAGCGCAGAGCCAGTGGGGCTACTGACTGCTACATCCTGCACCACTGCAAGCCAGATCAATGCCATCTCTGGCAATTTTGAGCCTCTTAAATTTCATGGTGTATGTAACTGCACTGAACACTTAGTGGGACAGCAGCAGCTTCCTGGGAGTCCTACAATTTGGTTAGAATTAGTCATCACTACAGAGAGTTTGAAGGACTTTGGATTCTGCTTTAATAAGCAGCAAACATTTAGATCAGGATTTACATCATAAATCTTGCTTTTTTGTTCTACTCAAACAGGAGTGTCTACAAATCAGGTTAATATAATTTAACAGTACAGTAGTTAAGTAACAAAAGGATCATAATTGGTAGTATTATCTAAGAAGCCAGAACAACCCTGCTTACAGCTGTCAGCTAAGATCTGACTCATCTAAGGTATTTTATAGCAACCATATGTTAGGCACGTCTATCTCACCTATTATGCAAAAAAATGATAACGTTTCCTAATCAGGATTTGCCACTGAGCAGGATTTTCCATAAACATCTCAGTATTGCAAGTGCTATCCACAGTCAGGGGAAAACCTTTTGCAGACACTTCTGATTTGTTAATTTAATAAATAGAATAAATGCTTACAAATCTGTGGCTAGTACTCATTCAGCCAGGCTGGCTGTAGTTCGAGTTACAGGTGCGTTACTTTGGCAGTTGAAATGTTAAAATGTCACTTTAGCACAGAATTCCTGAAGGTGACTACTAGCTTTTTTGCACTTCTTATGCAAGAAGTGCAAACTCCTGGGTGTTTCAAATTGAAGACATGGTCTCCAAGCATGTGATACATGAGAAATACTTCACTGAGACCAATATTAAATTGGTATAGTATCTTTACCTGCATAGACAGAAGAGGGAGGGTGATTTCATATCAGTATACCAGAGCAAGATTAAAAAATGTTTGAAAATATTAAAGTCTTTTGATAACAATGCAGGTGGTTAAGCTAGAATAGTAATTGCACTTTAACAAAGGCATATGCTGTTGCAAACCCCACTGGCTGTTGATTTTTGGGCAAGTTTTAGATCCAGTTCACTTTTACACAGAAACCTGCCTAAGCCTACACCCCTCTGCAGTCTGACTACTTCTTGCACAAAGATTGGTTATATGTCCAATAGCCTTAACTATTCCCAAGCGATCTTATGGAATAATATGGGGGATGAAGCTGCTGTCCCAACACTTCCCTCTGTTCTCAAAAGGGCAGTAGTTTTACTGCTTAGAAACTCTGATTGACTTAAAAGCTTTTTTGAATAAATTCTTCTTTTTCTGAACTGTGGGCTGTCACTAAATTAAAAAAAAAAAGCAAAGTAGGTATTTTTGCTGCTTAAGATCTTTGGCTTGTTATAAAATTTCACAACTAGAAATGTAGTTAAAGTGTTTCCTTATTAAGATAATTTTTCCAGAGAGTTTTCGAAAATAAGTAATTTTATATTAGCCCTCTACAGCTCTAGGTCAAAAACATGTCATCTCTGCTAACTAGTCATTTCTAAGATCCTCCCAAGCTCTGCTCTTTTGTTCACTGAACATCTGATGCTTCTTGTTATTCTTCTATAACCACAGATGTACCCTCTTCAAAAAACTCACAATCTCACAACGCTAAACTGACAAGTTGAGTGTCAAACCACACACCCCAAGCAGCAGAAGAAAAACAGAATCCCTCTTGAAGGAAAACAAATCACACAAATTGTTTCCAGAGAATGAATCTGAAACATTTCAAACTGTGCCCAGGCATTGTTTCCTAAGAATGCAAATGCCATTTTTATGCTCACTTACTGTATAATCAGAGGCTGCTCTCAGAAGGAAGAGATAATTTTGAACAACTTTTTATTTCCTTGTTAAGGTGAGTTTTATCTCTTTGAGCTGAACTGGAGCCTTGCTATGGGACCAAGATGGGTCTCCTTTTTGCCGAAAAGCAGCAGGGCCGTTGCTGTGCTGGCTGAGTTACACAGCAGGGTAGGTGAGGCCGCTTCCCCGGGAACGTGCGGTTTGTGTGCCACGGAGCCGCTGTGCATCGGAGCCCCGTGTGGTGCTGGCTGAGAGCAGCCGAGAGCTGGACAGGACTGAGCAGAGCTCCCTCTGCCTGAGCAGCCACCTCTCTGCTCTAGCGGGTCCCTGGTGACAGAAGGTTCTTTGGGCAGAGTGAAGAGATTTGTCAGGTCTCTGCAGCCAGGCTATAGCAGGACCCACAGCTCTTTCAGCTGTAGTGCCTCTCTGCAAGCCATCCCTCCTCCCACTGCAAGGGCTGATGTGGAAAAAAATTACAATGCTGTAGTGCTAAGGTGCCAAATATGTATGATTTGGCTTGGCAATAATTCTATAACTTACCTGAAAGGCCTTATGATACTATCCTGCAAAGAATGACATGTGAAGGCAGTAGGAGGGGTCATTATTATGCTGAAAAAATACTCAAGACCAGCTAGCTGGTTTCCTAATTAAACTATCAAGCACAGTTCACACTTTATGCTGTCTTCTTCTCTCTATGGTTCAAAATTTGTCACAGCATTAAAAAACCCCAGTTAAAAAATAAAAAGCATAGCTACAATGTGTATCTGGCTGCCTCGAAGGCTCTCTGTCAATATGTAACTGTAAGATAGTGCTGTTGTTTAGGCTTCACTGAAAAACTTTTTTTTAATCTGATGATTCAAAGGTGAAACATTGACCTTCAGTTTTGGTACTTGACTGACGATCTTCTGTAAAGATCTGTGTAGGAGTAATGCTGAATTCTGGGTTACATCATTTTTATATCAAGAGTTTGAGTCAAAAGTTGGATTTCTCTTTTTCCTAGTTCATTTCTATCTGATGGCCTTGAATATAAAAGATGATGCCTGAAGCAAAGCTGATAAAGTCACCAGTGCAAAGAAGCAGGGGGTGGGAGGGGGGTGGGGAGGGACACAGCAGCATAGATACATATCTTCACATCCTTATTTCCTTTACAAAGGGAGGAAGGAAGTTCCCTGCAGGTTAGCCAGAGAGTATCCGCTCTTACAGTCTAAGAGGTAGCAAAGTAAAATTTCCAGGAGCTGCAGGCTTTCAAAAATATTGAATTCAGTATTTCACAGATAATACTCCATAAAGTGTTTTCTATACCTAGGGCTCCTGAAAAACTTCTACTAAAAATTCACAACAGAGTGTACAGCCAGAGTTACAGACACTCACCCCACCATTTCATATCTCTACTCTGTTTCTGTCCCATCTTCCAAATCCTTCTTGTTCTTCCCATCCCTGTTCCTGGCTATTCCTTATCACTCTACCCCTTTCCTAACTCCAACAGCTAGCACTCATCTTCCTACCTGCTCCCTGTGTGCCCTTATAAAGATCCCACCCAACAGTCAGCTTCCATAGCAGCAGACCCCTGGGCTTCCCACCCCTCCCGCTGGCTCCCTGCACCACAGGAAGGGTCAGCACTGCCCAGTGAGGGCCTTGAGTCTCCTACCCTCCTGTCCACATAGGGAGCTGCTGCAGGGAACCTGCTGCAGGGCTCATTTTTTCAGCACAGGATGGCAAACGGCCGTCTCTGCCCTTGCTCCTCAAAAGTGGCTCACACGTGTCCTTGGTTTGGTGCCCATGAACACAGGTGACCTCTCTACGGCTGGGATGGCACTGCCCCGGGGCCAAGTGGATTGTGCAGGCAAAAGTACTCATATAAGGATTCTTAAAACAGCATCTTTAGGTTATTATGAAGGTTGTCTCTAAAACAGATATGACTCACCCAACAGCTACAGCAGTGCTCCTGCGCAGAGATGAATAAGAATTTTTATGCAACTTCTTTAATCAGAAGAGGCCTGCTTGGTTGAAAATGAAACCTTTGCAGGAAAATGTTGGTTTTGATTAATTTCTCAACTTGAAAAAGTGTCCAAATTGTCAGTGTGTATCACTTCAGCATTTCTAAACACACAGAAAGGGGGAAAAAGAAAAAATTAAGAAAATTAAGTTTCAAGTCACTTTTCATTTTAAGATGGGTTAAATTTCATTATATGATCAACTGGAGTCCAGCCATTTTAACACACTTTACACCATGAGTTTTTTATTTGCAAAAATTTACATTTTCACTTGTCTTCCCAAATTGTTTGTTGTAGATTACACTATGTAAATACTCAAATGTATTTTTCCTTAGTAGAAGTACAGTATTTATTTTTAAAACTAATTTGAGGAGGAGCCATAACAGCTTTGTTCGGAATTTCCTGCTATGTAATAGTAGCCCTTGTATCTCTATAGACTGTTACCTATCAAAGCCATTACCTTTCATAATGCAACCTCAGGGAAGATTTTATTGCTGAAAAAAAAATATCCATTCCTACTTTTAACTAACTGTTGTAAGAAATTGTTTCGTTTCAGAACTTTGACCAGGATTACAAATTCACCTCTGAAAATGGATCAAACTAATCAGTGGTTTCAGAGGATCATGCTTATTTTTATTTGCTGACTTTTTGACTGAGCTAAGTCACCTTATGGCATATTTACATTTATTGAGGTGAGCTCTCTACCTGTTGAGGACACCATTAAGATGATTATCAATTAGCCATTTGATCATCAATTTCAAAGCATTTTCCAAAGATACTAAAGCCCTTCTCACAGAAAAAGAAAGTGAAAGGGGAGTGGCATGACTCATCTGGGCACATGGACTATATCAGATGCAGAGCCAGAAATTAACTGAGCTTCTGGTACCCACACTCGTGGCCAGGGCACTAACATGGCTTTTACCAAAACTGAGAGCAGGCATCCCACCATTTTGCAAAGGAACATCCCTTTCTGGTGGAACATGCATTTGCAATTCAAAATATATTTGCTTGGGTTTTGGCAATACATGCTGTAATGCCTCCCTTACTCTTTTGCCTAACCCTACCCAGAGCAGGAAGAAAAATAAAAATGCATTGAGCATATTTTTCTGTATCAGTTGCTTTGGCTTGATGTTGCTGATACTGTAAACTTGGCTCCACTACAAGCAGAAATGTTACAGTTGAACTCAGTGAGATTTTCATAAGTAATCACGACCAGATTTGGGTCATATCTGTAGATATACTCACTGCAACCTTTAGACTCAGTTTTGAATGTGGTTAAGTGTGTTGAGGCCAAGCACTGTAAAATAAAGAGACTAAAAGCAGACTGTTTGCTCTGGCCTCAAGTGTGAATGCTGAGCTCTTTGAGGAATCTGAGCCACTTCATCTGTCTTCTTGTCCCTTTATAACCATCCTACCCGTTGAAGAAGACAAGATGAGGCTACAGACGTAAGGGCAGCTGATGACTGGGACAGAGCTACATGGGAGATGTTTGGAGAGCACAAAACAGGAGCACTGTGGGGATGGAGGTTTTGATATCCTCTAGCTCAGTGCTGCTCATTAAGGCCACCAACAGTAAACTCATGGGGTTAGGCCAGGGGCTTTAAACTGCCCTCAGGGAGAAGATAATGTAGCCAGTCTGGTAAAATGGCTATATCAGAAAGAAAGCAGGATGGACTAGAGCAATTAATAATACTTTATAAGAGTCTTGCAAAACCAGAGTATGTTTCAAAGCAGCAATGAACTTCAGGTAAAAGATGAAAGAGGGTTATGAGAGACAGTCCAAGGAAGCCTAAGCCAAGTGGTTAACTACTACTACAACAACCCAATAGTTCTGGGTTAATTTGGGATGATTAAGGAAGAAAAAAGTGCTTGGGGGTTGGGCATGGGTGGGAGCTGTTGTTACAAACTAGTAAGATTGCAAATCTTGTCTGACTCTGAGCAAAGATTATAAGTATTAGTTCATAGTTCTAGATGGGTTGGTTTGGGGTGGTTGTTGGAGGTTTTTGTTGTTTTTTTTTAAATCCAGGCCATCCATGTAGAGGGGCACTTTTTATTCAGTGAATTGCATCAGCACAACACTCAAGGTACATACAGTATTTGGCAGCTTTTGCTGACCTTGCCAGTTTAGAGCCCATGACTAGCACTTGTTCAGAGAGGGGGGTAAGGAAGTGCCAGCACCAGGTGCCATGTGGAAACTTAAGCAGCACGAGCTTAGGAGGAGAGAAAACACAGTAGAGGTCTAGGGAAGAGAAGAAGAATGAGAACAAAGGTTTGACACAGAAGGGAGCAGCAGATGAGCTCACAGGAGGAGAAAGGGGTGCAGGGAAGAAGCTGTGATGCTAAAAATCTGTGACAGTAGAATGGGCAGAGAACATTAGAGGATGTGGAGCCATAGGGTAATAAGGAGAGTAGGTCAGTGTTACAGGGTGATCTGAATCGCATAGTCACAAAATGTGTTTTAATACAACCAGATGCAATAGAACCACCTGGGAGAAAAGAAAGCAAGCTCCTGGGATGAGAATCTGCCTCTGAAAGCAATGATGGATATAGGGTGTGAAGTCAGCCTAGACAGCTAAATGCTCAGCACAAAAGTGTAATTATCTTTTTAGCATCTGCATCTGTGTATCAATGTTTTGTTGCATGTATTCCTGTACAGATGTTTCTTTAAGTACAGTACTAATTATAAACAGAAGAACCACCACAAAATCTGCACAAGCGTCACAGACTTGTGAAACCATTGCAGACCCAAACCATGGTGCAGATGGTGAAATGGTCTTGTGTGGGAGTTAACTATTTCCACATTAACGTTATTCAATCACAGTGGCCCATTTTCACATAGCTTGCTGAACTTCAGAAGGTTTGCACAAAGGTTAAGGTTTGACATTTTGAGACGGAGTATCTTAGTCCTCTATCCTCTAGTGAGAACTACAATAAATAATCAATAATAGAAGAGAAACACACACTCTTACTGCATCCCTTTCCAGGGTGGAAACACTGAAAACATGCTTTTTTGACACAAATGCCTATTCTGAGGTTTTCATTACCAGGATTTCCAGTAAAATAGCCATAGGCAAGAAAGCACTTAATGTGACTGTTACATTAGGCTTCCTGAAACCACATGTAAGTGGAATTGTGAGTGCAGGCGTAAGAAAATGTCCTTAAACTTCTGATGGACAAACAGAATTACACTTCTGTCAATATGTAAGGTTGTGATGAGGTTCTACATAAAGGGTAGCATTTAGTGTTTTAGGGGGTTTTTTTGTAACCAGTGTGATTTCTGTTAGTTTATGCAAAGCACACCTCTAAGAATGAAACAGATTGAGACAGGGCATAACGTCTTGTTACAGCAGCATAATTCATGACTGCATTCAGAAATCACTTCTCTCTTTAGATTTAGGTATTAGTTCAGAGATTACTTCTAGAAAGCAGTATTATTATCTCTTAATCACTCTGTTCTACAGATCTCTAATTATATGTTTAGCTAATTTATTACTGCTGCACATCTGTTATTTCTGCAGTACCGGATAGATACAGCACAACATTTTCAGTGTTACTGCCATCATAGAGCACTGTATCTGTAGGAGTTTGCCCTTCTTGATCAGAACCCACCCCTCTCACCCTGGTACTTGCTGTTTTGAGGCTGTGAGAGGAGGAGGAGAACCCTGGAAGCAGCCTGCCTGCTCTCACTTTTGTCTCCTGGATGCAATGACCAACTTAAGGGAATTTAGCTGCAGAGTCCTTGAAAGTCTCCACCAAACATGTATGAATTGTGGGTTCACAGCTTGCAGTAGGAGTTGCAGGTTGGACAGAGGTAAAACTCCAATACTAAAACAAAGATCTTGGCTAAAGGCTTGATCTCAATGTCCTGGAGCAATTAAAAGAGCAGCAGAGGTACCAAACTGTTACCCATCACCAACATGGCAGGATTCAAAAGCTCTCTGGTCTGTGTGCCAGTCTCAAGTCAGAAGCTGAAGCCACCTGCACACTGATTCCCTGGTCACTGAGAGTCACTGCTTTGCTCTACAAACCCAGCAATGTCATCCAGACAGCACTCACAGGCATGCAGGTACAAACATGATGTAGAGGGAATTGGCAGGGTCATTAAGGAAAGTCCATACGCCCTTGTGTCCCCAGGTATAGGTCCCATTTCCCTGTCACACACCTTCAGGTAAAGAAACAAAGTGCCCATTTCAGAACAGCAGCTTGAGAGGGATGAACTTTTTCAGGTGCTTTTCCTCCCTTGGGACAAAGCAGTTCTGCAGGTACCCTGCAAATAGGAGTGTGGAGAGAGGGGAAGACTTCCCACCCAACGTACCACGAGAGGGAACTGCAGCTTCATAAAGAGGAGGGCACAGAGCCAGAGAGACATTTTCCCAAGAGTTCATTTTCAAAGATTGCTGAAACACAGTGGCTGCCTGTAAACCCAAGCAAACAGCAACATAACGGGTCAAGCACTGACATAAGAGAGTTCAACCTACTTTGGTAATCTGACAGTTACAGGCAAATGAGAACGGGGACCATAACAGCAACTCTTAAGCAACTTTTAAACACACAGTGTTTCCTATGGTCACAACACAGAGCAATCCCAGGAACAAGTTCTCTTAGCACATAATGACTGATAAGTCACCCAAAAGACAAAAACCCCAGCACTCTTTTTAAATGCAAAAAAAGATTTATAAAAAAAAAAGTAATTTGAAATAAATACCTTCTACGAAAGAGGAGAAGACTTGTCAAACCCTCCTGTGTGCATTCTACTAATTGGACCAACCCACAACCCAAACCACAGAGCATTCAGGCAGGGTCTAATCCCACTGCAAGGAGGCTCCTGTCACACAGTAACCTCCCCTCTCCATTAAGGTTGGGTTCTGACCAGGAATGGTTGCATCCTTCACTCTGGTTTCTGGGGATTTACTGTTTTGTTACAGCATTGGATGTGCCACTTCCAGTTTAATGCACTGAATTTCAGGCTGACCCCAATCATGTGCACAGCTACTGAGCACAAGTTCTTTCCCCAGGAAGGTTTAAGAGTAGCCCTTTGTGTCATGTTAGTCCCCTGCCTTGAGGAAGAGCAGAGTGAAAAACAAATGCTGCCATAAGCGCAAACCC